CCTCTCCTAAGTGTCTGTTTACTTGCTGTTTAGAATAATAAGGAAAAAGAGAGAAATTGTCTATTACAGGGCTGGCACAGGTTAGTTCACCAAGTGACAGGGATGCTGGTGATTTCTATAGATGTTAGTAATAATTTGTGTTTTAGGTTTTGTCCAAAGATGAGAGAAAAAGGACCAGTGTCACAATAGAGCTGATCACTGACCCTCCCATCTTGTTCCTGGATGAGCCCACGACTAGATTAGATTCAAGCTCTGTGCATGCTGTTATTTCACTTCTGAAAAAGTACATGCTACAGCAACATTGTTTTTTCATTTATTTAATACAAATCTTTGTCATGTCTATGTGCTCAGTATTCTTATTGCAAGGGACTCAGAAGTGAATAGCAAGGGCTGGTGAGATACTTTAGTGGACTAAGCACTTGCTTAGGTAAGCACAGGGTTCTGTGCCTGGGCTTCTTTCCCCAGTACCACATGTAGTCCCAGTGCTGCCTCTGGGGAATGTTAAGCCTGCAGTGGAGTCCAGGTGTAGTGGGGCACACCTGTAATCCCACCTACTGGGGAGGCTGAAAACAGGAAGATCACTGCAAGTCTGTGTAGTGAAACCCTGCACCAAAAAACGAGAAAGTGAACAGCAGAGTGTTTTCCTCTAAAAAGAAGCAGTCAAATAAAAAAGGTATGCTGTCAAGAAAGATGAAACAGGAATATAGGGAAGGTTGGCCATGGTTGGGGCTTGGGCACTATTGTAAATTGCAGGAGGATAAGGGAAGACCTTTCATGAGCCTGTGACTTGTGAGCTGGGAGGGAATGAGAAACCAGGCTGGGTGTATCAGGAGAGAGCTCTAGTTGTAAGAAACAGCCAGTGGAACAGGACCCAAGGAGGTCTGCTATTTCTGGGACATCAAGGAGGCCAGAGGGCAGAACTAGTGACTCCAGGGAGTGGAGATTTACTAGGGTTCTATCACAGCCAAATGACACAGCCTAGGTGGTTGAATGAGAGAAATTAATTTTCTTACAGTTCTGGAGGCTGAAAGTCTGAGATCGAGATGTTCACAGGCTTGTTTATTGAGTCTTTTTTCATTGGCTTGTAGGGGTGTGTGTGTGTGTGTGTGTGTGTGTGTGTGTGGATGTGTGTGTGTGTGTCTGTGTGTGTGAGAGAGAGACAGAGAGAGAAAGAGAAACAGAGAGAGACAGATAGAGAGAGAGACAGAGAGAGAGACAGAGAGATTGAGACAGAGCCCTAATCTCCCCTTAGGTGGACACCAGTCAAATTAGGACTCTCTTGATGACTTAATTGAATTCTAATTAACTCTTTGAAGACTCTACCTCCTAATGTATCCATTTTCTGAGGTACTGGGTGTCAGGATTCCAGAACAGGACTTCTGAGGAAGACAAAGTTTAGCCCATGATAGGCAGACATAGGATGGGCAGTTTGTTGGGTTGGTGACAGATTGCATAGAGCTATTAGATCACTATGACAAGTGTGGCTATTACTGTCCCTAGGGGATATGGGAGTCACTTTCTGAATTCTAGAGTGGAACACAGGTAGCTGCTGAGAGGCAGTGTGCTCAGCAGTGAGGAGTTCAAGGATATCAGGAAGAAGGCAGTTGAGGCACTGTCATAGAAGTACTATAACAGTTGCTTTTGGAAATGTTTTGTGCTATGTGACACACTACTGTCTCTCCTTATGCAGAGAGCTCTAATTTGTCCTTCTCAAGAGTTGCTGTGCTTACCTCTTTCCTGGGGTCTAGTTAACATGCAGATTCTGTTTCCCTAGGTCTGAGTCGAAGCCCAGTATTCTCCATAGAAATCTCTGAGAAGACTCGCACTGACACCCCTCATCCATGGACTATGCTTTGAGTATCAAGTCTTTCAGCTTTTAGTCCTTTACCAGATCCCTATTGCCTGGCAACCGATGATCCCATTGCTGAGGGAAGGGTACATCATGGGTCTGCTTTGTTGTAGTATCCTTATTTATCTTCTTCATCCAACACCAACACCCACCACACACACACACACACACACACACACACACACACACACACACACACACACCTTGTAGCATAGCACTGAATTTGTGGTTCCTTTTAATTTCATACTTCATTCTTCTAATTAGAATCTTTTCTAAGCACACTGCTTTTGAGCCTTTTGACATTCTCATACTATGTTCAAACTGGGTTCCAAGTCTCTTATTAGCTTACAAGGAACTCTTAACTCTTTTACTCCACATTGTATTGAATTTTTTTTATTTTCCTACCTGATGCCCTTAGACACAGACATTGTAAAGATACAATAAGTGCTTATCAAATGCTTGAAGTGATTCTTCTTATAAAATATCTTTGATAACAGATTTAAACAAAAAAAGTTTGACCTTTGCTTCTTCTATTCACTAGTAATGACTCCTGTGTACAGGTAGTTTAGCACTGTTTCTAACATGGATGGAGACCAGGGGTCAAATCACAGCCTTGTACCTTGGTAGCTGTGCCTGCTTGGCTAGTTGCTTACATTTTAAGGCTTAATGTAAACAGAGGGAAATAATACAGGAACTGCTTTATAACAACATTGTAAAAATTACAATGTGGTTTTCTCTAAAGCATTTAGCAAAGGCTCAGTGCTTAATAATATAAATTATACTATCATGGCCCAAGGACAAAAGCCAATCATAAGGCAAGAAGACCAAAGTGATGAGTGAAAACAGCATATATTATTGTTTAAATGCTTAGTCCATAATTAATTCTCAAGCTTGGATGTACTTACAGATATCTTGGGGAGTTGCACCCACACCCATAGATTCTAATTCAGTGTCTGAGAAGGCTGTCCAAGGATCTGCATTTTCAATAAATCTTCTGGGGGAATTCTAGACTCTTAATTCACCATATTTTAAGAACCTCTAGTTTTTTAATAGAAGCATTAAATTTAGATTCTTCAACTATCAAATAGATAATATAAGATAGGATAAAAAATTATTAAGAGAAAATCAAGCTGGGTTGGGAATAAATGGGCTAATGGTAAGAGTAGAATGTCTTATCAGAAAATGCAAGGTTCAGATATTTAGTGACTTGTTCTTTTCCTTCTTTTAATGTAGGATGTATGAGCAGGAGCGAACAATCATCTTCTCCATTCATCAGCCTCAGTATTCCATCTTCAAGCTGTTTGATACTCTCACCCTGTTGGACTCAGGAAAAGTAATTTTCCATGGTTCTGCACAAAGGGCTGTGAACTATTTTGCATCAGCAGGTATACTTAAACTTTTCATGCCATTGGTCCTTCATTTGAAGAAGCCTGGAAGAGAACAGAGGAGGTCTACAGAGGTGCTGTTTGAATTTTGCTTGGAAGTACCTTGGGTTCCACCACTGGGAAATATGTCTGGCTACTTTGATGCCAAAATTTTTTGTCATTTTGCAGTGCTTTCTTGTTATGTAGGTTTCCTTTCACTTCTTGTCTATTGTAGTGTATATGCATAAAAATATCTAAGTTGGCCTGTTGTATATTCTATTCCTTAGGTATGGTGGCTTGTCCCTAAGAGTTCAGTAATTAATAGGTTGGGCTCATAGTCAATTATTCTGTCAGGTGAACATTTTTGAAAAGGTCCACTGTGGTCAACTTCTTGATAATATACTGGATGCTACTTCACACTTTTCCCCCTGGCATTTGACTCTACCTTCGTGAGGTCTCATAGAAATGCTAGTTCATTATCTACTAAAACTAGATTGCAAATATGGGCTGTGAATGGATGTGAACATCCTATTAACCAATCAAGTAGAGAGTGTTCCTCAGCCTGACCTTGACAGGCCAGCATTTCTGTACTGTCTGGTACTTCGTATTCAGATTGAATTAAGTAACACAAAAATACATTATGCAGCTTTCATTTCATTTTTGTGAATTAAGTAACACAGAAATACTTTATGAAGTTTTCATTTGAGAAATATTTAGATATGGATATAGATGTTTCACCATTTTGAGTGATGGGGATGAAGTACAGTGGTACAGTGCGTGCCTTACAGGTACAAGGTCCTCAATTTGATTCCTTGTACCAAGAAAAAACATACAGTTTTAACTATTCATTATCATTTTCAATTTGGTTAGTCTATTTCTTTAAAGTGAATCAAGCATATATGGGGAAATCCATGGACATTTCTGTGAGTCAGGTTTCAGGCCATTTTTGTATGATTGTATCAGAAGAAGTTGAGGTCAGAGTTTAGGTGTGCTGTGCCAGTCATGTTCTCTTGAGAATGCTGCCTGGGATTCATTTTGTATTTGAAATTATGGCAGCAAGACAGATGGTAATTTGGAACTCTGGACTTAATACATATAGAAGAAATCATTACTGACATGTGCACTGTTGTTTTCACATTTCAGAGAACACAGAGGAACTCAGAAAGGGGAACTCAGCACAGTGTACCCAGGCATTGGATATTCTCCTGTAACCATGCTTCCTATAGTACTAACAAGCACCAGAGCATATAGATAGCTCTTTGGGCTTTATAACTTAAAAAAGTTAAGGATAGTTAAAAGATGTTTAGAGGGGCTGGCCAAATAGTTCAGCAGATTAAAGCATCTGCAAGCAGGCGTAGGGGCTGGGGGGTTCGATCCCCAGGCCTGCCATGCCGTACCTGCCCCTAGGGTGCCCTGAGATGGCATAATTGCCATGATGGTGCGTGTCTGTAATCTCAGCTCTTGGGAGGCTGTAAACAGGAGGATCACTGAGTCTGATCTACTAGTGAGACCCTGAACACCTTGTAGATAAATCTTCCATATAATCCAAAAAGAAAAAAAATTAAAAGATGTTCAGAATAGTTCAGTAATCATGACATATATATTGGGGAGCACAGATAATTGTTTTAGTGTCATGTGACTAATTATGTAAAAGGAAAGGATAAATTAGTAAGAGCAGAAGAGCAAGAAGAAGAGGGCAAAGTTGTTAGATTCTGTCTTCCCTCGCCTCCCCTCCCAGCCCCTCTGTAAGTCCTCTGTGTTCCAAGACCACCAGGTTTGTTTCCTTGTGTTGTCTTGTCACTCAGGTTACCACTGCGAGCCTTACAACAACCCTGCAGACTTCTTTCTAGATGTGATGTGTGGAGACTCCTCTGTTGTATTAAACAGTGAGAGAGAGGACTGTGGAGACCTGGCTGATGTAGGACAGAGACAGGCAGAAGGCTCTAGAGACGCTCGGGCTTCACTAAACAGAGAAGAAGAAGGCTCTGAAGGTATGTGAATCTTTTAGGTTCACATAGTTTTGCTTAACTGTTTAGTTAAATTTCATTAATGTGGTATTTCATCAAAATGTGATTTTGGGGGCTGGGGAGATGGCTCAGTAGAATAAGCACTTCCCTGGTAAGCACAGAAGCCTGAGTCCAATCCCCAATTTCACAAGAAAATAAAATTAAAACATGATTTTGTAAATGCCTGTTAGTACAGTGTTCTGTTATCAGTCAGCAGATATACACTGTTGTTTATGAGTGGTGTAGGTATTTTAATTTCAGTTGTAAATGGGCATTTGTATAACTTTGCCAGTTATAAGGGGAATTTCCATTAAAAAACAAAAATGCTCATTGTTTATAGTATTTTTAAAATGAGACACTTGGCACTTTTGTATTTGCATATAGTAAAAAGCATGAATCAAATTTTTTTCTTTTCCTTTTTTTCTTTTTTTAGTAGAATCTGGGATTGAAGTTCAGGTCCTTATGTTTGCCAGGCAAGCGCTTATTCTACTCAGCTTTCTCCCCAGCCCCTATGAATCTAATTTTTGTATTAAGAATTATAAATTTGTAAAAAGTCTGTTTTAAGAAATAGGGCTCAAGTTATTGGTCATTGATTATGATTATGGTGTATCTGTAAGATCAAAGCTGCAGTCAGGTCAGTTAGCTATCTTTTTCTCATGTATAAAGCAATGAAAAAGCTAGTGATTTTTTCTTTTTGTGCACAAGCTTTCACATTAAGGTGTTATCCAAGAAAAAGTTAGAAAATGCATTAAATCTGGTCTCTAATGTTGTGTTCATCTACTTTCATTCCAAAGCTGAAGAGAGAGAAAGACTAGCTGAGCTTTATGCCAACTCTTCCCTATACAGAACAGTAGAAGGTGAATTAGATCAACTCTCAGGAGGTCAGAGGAAGAGCTTGGCCTTCAGAATCACCCATACCACCTCTCTCTGGCATCAGCTTAGATGGATTATAAAACATTCATTCAAAAACTTGCTGGGTTATCCACGAGTCACTATAACTCAGGTAACTCAACCTATTTTTTTTTCATTGTGATGTGAAATACTGAGTTTACTGATTTGCAAATACAGCAGAACTTTTACTCCTGTGTGCATTTTTAAATCCAAGTTTTGAATGTAGCATTTCTAATTATTTTATGATTTTCTGCCAATAAATGCTATATATATTGTCTTATGGTTTGAACTAGTTACTTGCATGACTGAGACATGGCCTGTACTCAGAAATTGTGTTAGAAAGCTCTTGGAATGGATTGTCTGTATAGGAAAATTTAGTGTTCGTTTAATGTGTCAAAAGTTTTCTGATCAAATTAATTTGGAAAA